AGGTAAACATTGGTTGATTGACCAGAGGTTAGATTATTGCATAGAACTTAAAGCACTGATTATAGAGATCATTGAAGCTTGATTGAAAGCTAGATGACTAAAGTGTTGAATAAATGCTTGATTGATGGTTGGAGTATAATTGAATGCAGATTGATAGCTCGATGACTAATAGTTGGATGGTTGTCAAACATCATATTGATGATCAGTAGTATGTGTAATTGATGAGGACCTCATACAAAAATGAGGTCAATAAAGGAAAGACCTGATAACATTATCAAAAGTTTTTTTAAGCAGAAATTTGAGTTCATCCTACAAAATAGTCAACCAATAATATTTTTTCCTTTGCATAATCCAATTACATTCATACTTCAGAGCCTCAATAAGGCTCTACCAGATATGAAGAACCTAATCAAGCAAGTTTCTATCAAGAGAGTTAGTTTTTAGGTAGGAAAAGATAAACTTATGGTTCTCTTTGAGCATACAAATTTGGAAATGAATATCAAAGGAAAAATTCTAGTTTGCACCTTTTAGAGCTATCTTCACATTAAGAAGTTTATTGGATATAACAAATATACGATCCCCATTAACAGGAGTGCCCCAAGGATTTTACAAAATCTCAAAGAAGGTGTGACATGAAGACCAATAACCTTTATATATGAATCTTCTCATAATGTTGTATGAGAGTTGTTAGAGAAGAATTTGAGAATGGTTAGAAGTGTTAGGGACGAGGATTTTGTAGTGAGATGGAGGAAATGAACTTAACCGCTGAGAATTGTATGGGGAAGACCAAATAATGGGTTTATACAAATGTCGATTATACCAACTATAAGTAAGATCACAATGGGGAAGGTCAAATATTCCAACATTAAAGATCCAACAATATGGAGGAATGAGTAGGGCCATCTCTTATGTTTTCATCCATAGCTCTAATATAATTGAATTCACTCACAATGATCTAGGGCTCCATAACATAATGACAGATATCAATAAGAGCCAGCCAAAGAGCTTTTCTTTTAAGAGCACCATTAGTAGCATACACAAAAGTAATCATTATATTAGTAATGTAGGATATGATCAATTGTCCATGAATAAATTGAGGACCCATAGAGAGTTAAAAGTAATAGTTGCAACAATCCATTTACCCCAGAAACAAGTATGAGGAGAGGCTTGGAAGTTATTACAACTACCATCAATAGGAAAGAAATTCAATTTCCCAGAGTTGATGACCCATTAATGTTATCGGTATTGTGCTTAGTCTCAATCAAGCAAAAAACATTAATATGAAGGTCTTTAACCATGTTTCTATAATCCCTTACACAAGCATCGCCATTTAACTCACATAACATCCATGTAAGAATGTTGGGAAATAACATTGATTAATAATTTTTTGAGGCATTTTGGGGACCCCCCTTTTGTCTTACTTAATTTTCTACCTTTCAAAACATTGAAGCTAGAAGCGATGAGTCTTTGGATACCATTTGTAATAACCCAAAATTTAATCCAATCAAATATTTTTTTTAGGAGTCATTATAAGTCAAATTTGAAAATTATCTTTTCCATAAGATAAATATTACTGTATTTTATCTATAATTTTTTTTTTATAATTTTTGGGTACTAGTGTTAATTCTTAAGAAATAAACACTTATTGATATAAGTGGGGATTTTAGGACCGTCAGGTGTCCATTTTGCATACCAACTTTATTATAATTTTTTAAATAAAATGGGCTATTTTATAAAATTTATACTTAAAATTGATAAAATTAGATAATTATATTAGTATTATAATATTATTTTAATATAAAATTCCTAATCCATTATCAGATTTTATTAAAACACAATTTCTATGATATCTCATTTGAAGAGAGAAGTGAAAATAAAATTAGATATAAATTTGAAGAGAGAAAAAGAGAACCCAGATTTAGATGCCCCTAAAGCAATTTTTATCAGTTGATTCTATTGGTAGATTTAGTCGTCTCGCTATAAAGAACCATTATCCTATTTTTTATTTCAATAATTTGATATATTTTTTTTAGATTTTTTCTATCAATTTTATATTTTTGTTACCCAAAAATAAGGATAATTTTGTATTAATAAAATATCTACTACATAACTTTTAGTATGTGATAGATGTCGTAAATATGAATATTTTGACAAAAATATATTAATATTTTACCTGCATTTGTATATTTTGGGAAAAATATCCTAATTTTGATTATTTTGTATAAATTTAAAAAATTGTGAAATAATTATTAAAATTATTTTATATGCTTATATGACATGCATAATTAATATAATTTGATCATTGTCAACATATATGTGAAAAAGAGCTCATTGCATTTTCTTATAAATTTCATTAATTTTTATTCATGTATAAATTTTACACGCATTAAGATGACACATTGAACTAAAAGCTGAGTGTCTTATTATATGTTTATTTTATTATATATGCAATGAAATGTATGTAAGAAAAGCTGGCCATATATAATTGATTGATTCAAGTTAGCTAAAGACATAATACAATGTACAAGAGGATGAGCCAACGGACTTTACTTTAAAATAATAGCATAACAAGGGAGGCATAAGGAGATAGATTGATATGATATGATACAACGACGTGTAAAAAGTGACGATTTTTTATATGAAAGCCACTTGGCCTAAATAACTTGTGAGTGAGACTAATTCCAGAAGGATTGGCCTACAGGAGTGGATACAAAAAAAATATCATAGATAGTAGGATGCCTATTCTTTCTTATAGTACTTTTATATGCATATGATAGAAATATATATGATAAATTGCATTTAAGCTATGACTGATATAAATATTTAATAAGACTGATAAAATTGATACAAAGATATTTGATATAGAGGAATCACATGATTTACATGATATATATGCATAACATAGACAATGTACGACATGCATTCAACTATAAAATGTATACAAATTTCTTGAACCAATCGTTCTTAGTAAATGGTATAGAAATGATACAGTTTACTGGCGTCATATATACGTTCACATGGTTACTAATCATTGCTCTAGTTGTACATATGCTTATTGATCATATGACCTATTACTGCTTCATTGGTTATTACATACTTTTATACTTATATGTTCATACTAATAGTGATTGAATGATTACATACATATTATTCATATTGCCTAGCAATTATTTCAATTGTAGGTTTTAATAACCTATTAGGCTACTAGCTCACTCTTTAATTTATATATTTCTCAACAATGGGTCATGATCCAATGAAGTGAGAATAGATATGAGATTTAGGTTTTATTTTACTTTTACATTTCATTTAGTTTTATTCTTTTGTAGTTAAGAGCTAAAATATAGATTAATGAATGAATGGATTGAGCTCTTGACTATTGTATATGAATTTTGAGTAATAAATATAGAATTATATTTTGATGTATATAAATTTTAATTGCTTTCACTAAATTGATTTATATTGATAGATTCATAGAATCTCTGGTTGGTTAATGAAGAGATGAAAATAGGAAATTCTTCCAAAAATTTAATCTTAGGGCATTACACCATGGTTGTGAAAAAAAAAGGATTGAGTGTTGTCTTGATGAGGACTAATAAGAAGTCAAGGGTTTGTGTTGTGTTTTTCATAGTGTGCAAGAGAGTTGGTAGCAGAGCTAGATTCATGGGTATGAACCTCAGTCAAATGGTTAGCCTTATCCATAGAGCCATCTGGAAAATTGTGAACCCTAAGAAGAAGGTTTATTCTTGCAAGGTTGAAAGAATTAGCAGAGGCAGAGTCGAATGTAGTGATATTAAGGTCTTGATTTCTGGTGTGATTTAAGGGGTTGGGGGGTACAGGATTATGATATGTGGGTTTATATTAATGAAGGAGTATTTATTATTATTCAATGGATGATGATTACGACATCTCCCCCTATGCAAACACATCCTATTAAGAGGGGTCTTCATATAGTTGATGAATTTATGGCAAGGAGTATTATCATGAGCAAAGTTATCACAAGTTGTATAGGCATATGGTTTCCATTCATATATGATAGGGGAACATATATCTTTGTTCTATATATTAATATGAATCTCATTAAGTAGAATAGTCGTAGTAGAGATTTGGATACTAACATGAGCAAAGGTGAGATATCAAAGGATCAACAATCAAGGGGTTAGCGATATCGTGATTTTAGATATACTTGCCTCTAACCAATAACAAAGGAGCAAGTTAGGGATCCTAAACCATATTGTAAAGTCCTTGAAATCTTCCTTGAATGGGAGTGAAATCTGAAGATCATCTTTTAAAATTGAAAGACCTCCCATTAAGGAATCAAGGCCCACCATTGATCACTATTTCCAAGTCTTCAATACAAGGAAATTTAAAGAGAAAAAGCCATCTAAGAGAAAAAAAAGCTCGAAAGACCCCCTTCAATATCCACATCTTTTTCAAGCAAGTAGGATGTTATCATAGGACAAATGTTTGCCGGTCCCATATCTCACCAAAGCAAAGAAATCAAGCTCGAGAGCCTTCTTCGATTTGGTCACCTAAGAAGCAAATCTTACCTTCATTTCAGGGGATAAAATACAATACAAACTTCACCGCAAGGGAGGTATGAGAAGGAAGAGAAACCATGGAAGAAGGATTTATTGATCAGGGAGAAGTAGGGAAAAGGAAGTGGCTTGAGGATGCCCTAACCTTAGCAGAGATCAACTTATAGGTTAAAAACTTTGACACTTTGATGCAAGATTTTATGTCATCATACACTTTTTTCATTAAAAAAATTCTATCAAAACTTTTAAATATGCTCTAAGATTAACATAAGACAGATAATTAATATTACACAGTTTAAAACAGTTGTAAGATCTTTGAATCCCATCTTGACCAATTTTTAATCATATATGCTGACACAATTTATTTTCCTTAATATTTACCCAAAACAATTGAAATATAGTGCAAGCACAAAGCAAACATCAAAGAATATTTAGAAAGCTGAAAAACTGTGAAGGAATCTGAAAGATTGAAAGCCAATTGAATTACTGGAAGAAACCACCAAAAATAATCATGATTGGCACAAACGTCAAAACATGGAACTGCTAAGTAATTAGCTTAATTCCATCAAAGGTTTTAGACACCTTAATGTCTGATGTCTGACATACAAAATGACAAATAAAAGAAAGATAGGTTATGAGAAAAATCTGTGTTCAAAAAATAAAAGCTTAACGACAGGAAGAACATGTTCCCAAGACAAAAAAAGAAGTTAATTTTAGGCATTTGAGATAATAATTCAATAGCTCTCCAGTTCTCAAATATGCCCAGGTTAATTACTGTGATGCTGCTTTAGGGATACGAGGCCTCACTGGTGTCTTTGATGGACTAATCCTGAGGTAAGGGGGAAAAAATCATCATATTTTTCATTAAATATATAGAGATTTGATAAGTTTTATTGATGAGTAGTTAAGAACATACCTAACTGGAAGAGATCCAAGCACCATACCACTACAGTTCAAAGCTAGAATGGCACTCTCAGCCTGGAAAGAAAAATAAAAGATCCAAAATTAAAAAAATGTATTAAAAGAACTAATAATTCAGGGAGAGAATGGTAATAAGATCAGATTTTTGTCTCAAAATAATAGTCAAAGTATAATTAAAATCATTAGAACAGATTTTAACAAAGCAGGTTTTTCACTTTAGATGTTAGAAGTAGTGAAGAGATGAACTCAACATTACCTCAGAATGATATAATAATGCCTACATATGATAATAAGAAAGCCATAATTGTATCAATTGATAAAAGCTCAACTTAGGCTTTGTTTGGGACGGCTTTTTTTCTATTTCTTAAAGCAGCTTTTTAGTAAAAGTTCATAATTTTTCTACTAGAAAGTTGCTTTAAGAAGCAATAAGAAAGTTGTCCCAAATGAAGCCTTAGACTTCATTTGGGATGGCCTTCTTACTGCTGCTTTAAGCAGCATTTAACATAAAAATTTTAATTTTTATACTAAAAAACTGTTTTAAAAAACAGTAAAAAAGTCATCCCAAACGAAACCTTAATCAAAGTTTTTCTTCTTGATAAGGTTCATCCATAATCCAACCAACATAGAGAAACAGGAATAGATTTGGAAATCACCTGAGCAAATTCAACAAATGCTATCCGTGTTGAATGCAAGCTGTCCCCAAGAAGTCTCAGACGGGAAACCTGCATAAGACAAATATAACTTAGTCCCAGACTTTACAAACAACAATTTGGAATTCAATAAAAATAAGCAGACCGGAGAAATATTTTCTGACCTCTCCACATATTTGTTCAAAGAAATGTTTTACTTCAGATTGAGAAACCTGCAGAAGAAGATGCATGCTTGAAATATTAGTCCAAAATCTGGCTATCAGGTAAAGCGTACAATTTTTCAGAGTCATGAATATCAACTTTATTAGATTTAAATGAGAATTTGACTTTTAATAGGACACAATGGAGAAAAAGGATTCATGTAGCCGACCCCACGTAGTGGGATAAAGGCTTGATGTTGTTGTTGTTGTTGTATGAATATCAATCATGACAATGCAAAAATTTATAATGATGCCATAGTTAGATCTATGACGAGAAGCATCGTTAAATTAAGGCTTCATTTGGAACGATTTTATTATTACTTCTTAAAGCAGCTTTCTAGTACAACAAATTAAATTTTTGTTATAAAAAGCTACTTTAAGAAGCAATAAAAAAGTCACCCCAAACGAACCTTAAGATAATATATGCATTTTGATATTTTAAAGAAAATTTGCGCTCTCACCTTCCGATCAATATTTGTACTGTACACCGTTCTCACAACCATTTCTCTTTCATCAGTGGACTGCAACAATTTCAGCTATAAGAAATTATTCTAGAAAATTGAGGGTATAACTGCAACACTTTCAGCTATAATTCAGACATCCTAAGGTGCACAGAAACAATAATATATGGAGCGAAGTTCTGTACCCGTGGTAGGAATTTAGGATTCACAGGAAAAATTGCAGTCTTTGATGGTAGAACTCTGACAAGGTAGGAACCTAGCATGGCCCCTCCAAGACTGAGAGCTGCCCTTGCACCCTCTATGAATAAAATAGAAGAAACATTACGAAAGAGAAAAGAATACCACAAATCATCAGTATTGCTCTAACAAAAGCTTATTAGAGCTTACCATCATCGTCAAATTCTATAAATGCGAATCGAAGAGTTGAGTGAGGATCGCCACAAACCCGACAGTCAACAACCTTCAACATAAGAATTTCAAAACAATAAGAGGTAAAAAAAAAGGCTGTGCGACTAAGGCTCCATTTGGGACGGCTTTTTTGTTGCTTCTTAAAACAACATTTTAGTTTACAAATTTTAGCTTTTAAGAAGCAACAAAAAATCCATCCCAAACGAAGCCTAAAACTATAATAAAATGATACAAAGCGCTAAATCTCGAAAGAATATATATCTCATCTAGAGCTACATAACTATGAATGAAAGGCTATGACAACGTTGAGGATGGTGCGATTCTGCTTGATTGAATCAAAGCATATATTTACAATATCAATTTTCATACGTTAAATCAACTCAAGAATGTTGGAAGGTAAATTTACCACAAATCACCCGCAAGTTCTTTTACGTCATATAGAAATGCGACAGTACAATATTAGATTTCTGATACATATCATAGTAGAATTACTATCACATCTCAAATAATTTTAATCTATTTAATGTGTGATCTAGTATACACAAAGTCAAACTTTATAGACTGTTTGGTTATTTCCAAGGGCTACAGTAGGTGCAATTCTTTTTTTAGAGTCAACATCGTGCAAAATCTCCCTTGAAAACGGTTAGGCCAGCCCTAGGGACAGCTGAACCGCTCCAACTTGGACCGATTTTTTGCTACAGGAGGCGGGGGCAGAACCAAGGGGAAGAAAGAGAGAGGCCGGTTGGAAGAAATGGGGCCCACAACTTAATTAAACTTTACTTTGAGAGGGGAAATTTGAATTAGGGGCTATCTAGGGATTTTGTAATTGTCCTCTTTGTTTTAGTTAGTTCCCTTGGGAGGATTAGGGTTTGAGCTTGAATTGGAAGAGAGATTTGATATCTAGGGTTTGTTCTTTTGGGCTCTAGGCTTTGCTAGAAATTTGGAGAGTTGTTTCTTCCTCTCGAGTTGAAGAAACTTGTATCTTATATTGGTTTTCTTGTTCGTGGATTGAATAGAAGAAGTTTCCTTGTGTTTTCTTTCCAATTTTCTGAAATTTCTGCATCGCATTGTTTATTTCTCTCTGAAATCAGCAGATTTCTCACTGTTTTCACCAATTATTGTTAGGCTTACTTGCGAACTCAAGTACTTCCCTTAGGGTTACTTGGAAACTCAAGTATTTCCTATTAAAAACCACTTGAGATTTTCCTTAATTGCTGAACGGTAAAAACTGATAAGTTCATTAACATATCAGGAACACCTAAAAGCTAAGAGTAACCCTTCTTGCATTATGAGTGCCAGCCACGAGGCATATAATGTGAGTGAACGGCAAGAAAATAAATATCATGCATCGCAACAATTAACTGGTCATCCATGGATTGTTATGGACTAAAACAATCATTAATATCAGGTCAACACCATCTGGAATCCCGATTACTTTCTATACATCAAATTATTACAACTTAACAACAGCATTAGAAAACACTGATTGATGCCCAGCCCATGTGCTAGCTTACTATATCAACTTTATTAAAGGAAATCCACTATTTAAGCATGCACAGCAATGTAGAACAAAATTCTTTTCAAAATGAGGAAATTTTATGCCAACTGAAATTATCTTCGACTTTAGTCATCAAAATTGTAATTGGCATAACATCTTATGTTTCAAGAAGTATGAAATTCCACTTTCTAGGTGTAACAGATTCATCATGGAAGCACTGGTAATTGAAGAATAAAATGGAAGTAACATTTAGAGAATAACTTGTACAATTAACCTCTAGTCTTTTTTTTTTTAAAGTATAAAGAGCATATCAAACAAAAAATTGAACTCTATGTTGATAAAAAAATTACCAGGATAGGAACTTAAATACATAACTTTATAAAAAGCTATTCAAGCACAATGTTTGGTGCTTCAGATCAGCCACCACCATTGATAAGATTCAAAAATTAATCTAATGTTCAACTTATAGTTGGCTATCTGTATTTATAGTTGTTAAGACAAGTGAGACATTAAATTTAATCCCACAAGAGAAAAGTTAAAAAACATTGTGTAAAAATACCAAGTGATTGGCTCTCAACTATGGGATTAATTTTAAGGTTGAAAATGGATTTGACTACTCGTATATTCAGCCAAACCTAACGCATCGTAGAAAAGTATATAGTTTAGCCAAAATTGCGTGGTTCATGTGGTTGGTGACAGCCATATTCTTTGGTGAGTTCTATAATATGAATGAGCCAAGTTCAAGAGAAGTTAAACTTCTACAGTACCTCAAAGTGTTTGAGTGAGGTCTTGGTGCAAGATTTAGGAACCCTTTGTACCATCAATTCATGGGCTTGATCTTCAAGCTGTTTGATGGCTTCATTATAAAAAATTATTATTAGAATGAGATTTTTTGACAATCAACGACCATGAAGTTTGATATTGAGATGGATGAAGGTTCTATACTTAGAGAACTAATATTCTCAAGATGATCCAATTGGTTTTGGCAAAAGTTTTGGTGGAATCAATCAAGGACTTGTTGTTGTTCTTGTTAGAGCATTGCATCATAAGGAAGCAAAAAGATTTTGGTTTCCTAGCTAGTTATGGAATAATATTAGCAATCATATGATGGGAGGACTTCTAGTTGTGATTAGACGGATCATTTTTGCATAAATCTTTACTAATGTTGATACATACCATTACAATGATTAAGGGGATGAAACCAATTTAAATGTACATAAGAATTTGTGGCAAGCGTACTCTTGCTATTGATAGATCCATCTTTGTTTGCAAAATATTTTTTAAAGGCCCCTGCATGTGTTAACATGCTGAGTTGCTAAGCCCTTTAAGGCTTCTATATAACTTAAAAGTGCTTGGCTTGGGAGGAGATATAGAGGAGATAGAGTTTTTTCCAAAATCTGGAGTGAAGGGAGAAATTTGTTGCACATGGTTAATGCAAATTTTCCATATGACCCATTAGGTCTTCTAGCCTTTTTTTGGGCAAGTTTCACATAATTTAGGATTCACAATCTCTCAATTTTGAGATGTTCGACCTGCAACCTTACTTTCTTGGATGTGTGGGATAACTTCCTCATAACCTCATGAGAAGTACTATGGTTGGATATTTTTTATATAATGCCAAGGTTCCTATTGGGTTTCTCGGGAAAAAATCAATTAATAGAGGATGCCACACAATACTCTATTGATGTAAGGTTTCATGTAATCATGGAGAACTCAATCCTTCCTCACGGACGTCCGTCTTAGTGGCTAGGGTTTCATTGGAAGATATTGGAGATTCTATTGGTGTAGATTTGAGGAAGACTGTATGTGAGGTAACTTTATGAGAGATTAATTGCAAAGCTTCTTTGTTTGTGTGGAGTACTGGAGTGTACTTGGATTTTGAAAAGAGTTATTGAGTCTTCATTTAATTTGAACATCATGATCATGGATGTTTTGTTAGCGTATTGGATTCTCTCTCCCCTCCTATGGAAGTAGATTTAGTTGAAGTCGAGGAACATAAATCTTAGAGGCTTACGTGATTGTTTCCAACTAGTTTGATTTACTTTGTGGCACATTAATCTCAATCTTGGTAATGCTTCCACTTTGAGTCCTTATATCTCTTATTACAGCAATACATTTGTTCTCTAGAGACCTACCAAATTTATGAAGCTTCTATCATTGTAGGTATTGGTAGAGATTTATGCACGCAACCATCAACATAACACATATTTTTGTGTTTGGAACTTTGATTTTTTAGGTCATAACCTATAAGCTAAAAATTGCGCTAATACCTTGCCATCAGAAGCTATTGTCTCATACTTCCAAAAGCAGTACTTGTAGAAATTTTGACCTGTCTATCCTCATAGGGCTTTTTGTTGCCTTTTATGTAACAATCACCAGCTATGCCATTTAATGTACTGCCCAGGCCATGTTCATCTAGATTAGTTCTTATTTATGGAAAGTTGCCGTATCAAGAGTTCAGCAGATGCTTTAAAGAATCTGTTTCTTAAGATATTTTAAGAGAATAGCCAACAACTATGCTGAATGATTAGTTTTAGCGCCTATCACAGCTGCACCATTCCTATAGCAAGGAAGAGAAGAGGTGGCTGAAGCAAAATGCGGAGCATCATCATTCTCATAGTAAATGTTGTGGATCAGCGACTAGTTCAAAAAATCATAATCATCCCCGCCAACAATGATAAAAGAAATCGATTTAATGTATAAGAGAAATGGTAACTTAAATACAAATTCCATGCCCAATAAACAACCAACATCTCAATTTTCTATTTGAAGTGATGAATCAGTCCTGGGATATCAATTTTGAATCCTTAAACCGTTGAGAAGATAAAAATTTGTGAACAAGGCATACAAAATTTCATGCATTAAGCATAACAAACCTGACTTATACTTTTTTATCCAATTCATCAGTGCCAGAACCAACATTGAGACTATGGATTTTTATTAATTAAAGTAAAAAACACGTTCCTTGCCTAACATGATCATGACTACACTAGATTTACCTTTTCCATCATTTAGGATCAATAGCTACCATATTTTTTGTTTGCTTTTACTCGCTTCACTGTACAATCAGCCGCTAAACTAGTTAGTGGCAAATGGAATAAGATTTAAAATTTTTGACAAATTGATTGAAGCCAATCAGTAATAATTATCTATACTCTTGAGTCTAACAACCATTTTTCTAATAGGCGTTATATGTTACCAAACAAGTACATTTTTTTAGTTAAAACCAAGTTAGTTCGTAGCAAAAGCAATAAGATCTAAAATTTTTGACAAATTGATCGAAGCAAATCAGTAATAATTACCTATACTATTGAGTCTAACATCCATTTTTCTAATAGGCATCATATGTTACCAAACAAGTAATTTTTTTTAGTAAAAACTAGAGGCTAGAATCAAGTACAAGAAGCAAATAGCAATATAGTTAAATTTTTACACAAATATATACTTCACATAAATACAAAAAAGATATTTTAGGGCAAATCTGTCAATGCCGGCACTCTGTAACATATTTAGATATACTACTAAGTTCTACAGTACTAAAACAGAAATAGGAATGTTTATTAATGAAAACAAATATGTTTAAGTATAACTTTAACTGGAATTCTGATTTAAAATGAAATCATAATCACTGAATCCCTCAGTAATAGAACAAAATTTTAAACTTGAAGAAAATCTAAAACATAAAAATGAATTATGTCCATTATTTTTTGGTCTAGACGAATGTCAATTACAATAGGACCCGTCGAAAGGTTGGTAAATAGATCTTTAAATTGCAAATAGGCTCAAGGGTTATTTTTATGATGACAATTTAACTGTGTGATAAAGAATAAGTATTAGAAGGAAAAAAAGTAAATCTTGAGTGTAAAAAGGATATGTTTAAGGAAGTAGAGAAAGAGGTGGATAACCCAATGACAGAGAAGAGCATGACTGCTGATGAAAATTAAATAGACAGATTGTTCCTAGGCTATAAGCCTATTCAGTTTAACTAATAAGTTATTTAAACCCATTTATGGGTACTTTTTAGAAGATGATCAATCAGGGAAGCTTTTAGAACATACAATGTAGGAGATCTTTAAAAAGTATTACACTGCACAACATAGTTCAATGAAATAATAACTAAACTATCCTATTCAAAAGTATTCCGCTTGATTTAAATAAGTTAATTAACTAAGAAAATTATTTGTTCTTTAGCGTCTCACTTTGCTCAAGTGAGCACGTAGTGCATTGCTCGCAATGCATCAGGCACCCATATTTGCTCGATCCCCATAAATACTTTTAAAAGCACTGTTTTTAATGCAATCAATTCTTTAATATGAAAAGTAGCATCATGGTTAGATCATTTTATCACTAAAGCAATATGTCTGAAGTAAACAATGCCTGAAAATAACATCATAAAATCTACAAAAGGAAATCTAAAGATGGCACTCAATTAGCATAAGTTATACAATGTGATTATGTAAGTTGAAGTTTGAGAACTTACTTGACCACAGCTACTGAATAATTCAGCTAGATGCTCTTCTGTTATCTGATCAATGCACCACGGAAAATCAATTGCGGTGTAACTCAGTAAGTAAAAGGCATCAACTGATGCGAAAAACATGAAAAAACAAGCAAAAATAAAATAAAATAAAATAAGCGCAATCTTTGATGGCTCACATGATGATCAATATCAGAAACATATACAGTTCGCCTAATGCTTTCCTCCCGTTCAGCTCTTTTCAACCTGTCATTCATCCTCTTCCTCCCTTGGTTATAGCCATTTGTCCTCTGTTAAAATAACAAAATATTGAAATCAGAAGCCGAGAGAAGTGTTGAGGTTATAATAAACCACTACTAAATATACTTATAAACAAAAGAATCCAAGAAAAAAACAGAAGGCTAAATATAAAATTGGACAGCTAATCACAGATCACACCAAACTTCCATAAAATGTTTGATTTATCATAAATCAAATTCTTTAATTGATATATCACTATGATAAAAGTGGGGGCAGGCAGATATAAAGAAATTAACCGTACCCTCCGATTCAGCAACTGATTGTTTGAAGATACATCACTACAAGAATCCTTATTACCATTCCCGTTCTCGGGCACATTAATTCTGTTATAACAATCGGTAGAGCCCACGAAAACCGGGGCATCTGCGGAGAGGCGGCCATCCAATTTGGTCCCCGTTGCAGCGTAAGATGAAGGGAAAAACTCCTTCGCCAGTGGATTCAATTTCGAGAGAAGATCCACCAGCTTCCTCACATCACTCCGATATTCCGTTTCCTGATTGCAAGCCGTGGGCTGGCAATGGATGAACTGATTCTCAGAGCTGATCCCGTTCGCAGCCACCGCAGCCATCTGCAACTATTCCCTACTTCTCTCACAAGAACCCCAGCAATTCAGCCTCTCGGCTCGATTTGGAAGGAACACTGGAGAATTTCAGAGAATGGAAATCGCTTTTCTCCTTCCGCTCCCAAATCCCCTCGTCTCCGCTTCTCAGTTCCTATGGCCTTTTGGAAATTCCGAGCCCTTTGCCTTGACGGTTTTATATGCCAGATGGGAACTGATGCATTGAGCATAAAGAGAGAGAAAGAGGGAGAGAACGGAAAGAATGGGCTGAATCGATATGCGTTCGTTCATTATATTAAATGGGAATAAATCAATCGCAAATCCTAAGATTATATTCTCTCTCTAAGTTGAGAATTTTTTTAACAAATTATTAAACATTCTTATTATTATTTTTTTATTTATCTATGATTATTAATATAGATATGAGGATGCTCTCATGGATGAGTACTTTTAGTCTTAAAGATAGAATACGAAATACGTTAAAAGGATGGAGTAGCTCTGTAGAAGATAAAATTAGAAAGAGTCACCTTAAGATGTTTTGGTAACATAAAATGGTGGTCTTCTGATTGCTCAATTATTATGTGCAGATGTCAAATGTCATCCGGAGATCAATCAGAATGCGCCACATCACCCCCTTGCTCGATATCGCGGCTCAGCACTACTCGGTACCGCTGTCGTGATGCATTATAATTGGTCTCCGGACGGCGTTCAACGTCCAGCCTCCACACAGAATAATTTCTCTTCGATGTATTAGATTTGACTTATATTAAGAAAGATAGAGATATATCTAAAAAGATTTGATTAGAAAATATCAGAAATGACCTTTTTTTGTTAGATTGATATGAGACTTTGACTCTTAACATAGCATAATGAAATTGAGGTTTTCATTGGCATAAGGACAGTGCTTCCAAAAAAAAAAAGATTAATGTAGCCAACCCCACATACTAGGATGAAGAATTGTTGTTGTTGTATGATTATTATCATATACTTTATGTTAATTAAATATAATAGAAATATAGCATCTTAATTTTTTATTAATTATCATTTCTAACAAATATTTTAATTATTTTAAAATTTATTCTTAATAAAATTAGGTCAAAATTTCTAGTCCAATTTTTTTCCAAAATTATATATATATATATACATAA